GGACCAAAGTTATAATACCATTTCATGCTCATGAAAGGTATAAAAATGTGGTAAATTTGGCCCTTGAGTAATGCTATATTATACACATGTGCATAAATGTCTATGTATATACCTCAAAAAATGCTGACAAACTACTAGAATTCACTAAGTGGGTCCGTTAAAAAATTTTGTCAAGTCCCCTTATTAAAAATTTATATAATTATAAATTTGCAAACAAAGTTTTTTTTATCATTCTACACTAAAGACGAAACTTTGTGACGGAATTTTAATGAATTTAATTTTTACACTTCACTGCACTCAGCCGCTTTGCACATGCCGCCACTTTGACGACGCAGTACGACGCTAAGGAACTTTCAAACATTCTGAATAGTAATAATTTACTTTATATCATTTATTTATTCATCTCAAGTTAATGCTTTTTTATAAGGCAAAAGAAAATTCATGTATGCAAATTTATTTCACAGCTATGCGTGCAAAGAGTAAAATGTGAAGCAAAAGTGTTGAAGCAGAAATAATTTAATTTAAGCAATAAGTTGTCACTTTACGCCCTACTTAATCGATTAGAATTCAAAATAAAAAGAAAAAAATTTAGAAAGCATATTTAGTGAGAAATAACTTTTCCTGCAATACGAAATTCCATAACAAACGCCAAATGTGGGCTGATTGCGCTTTTGGGCGAAAAGTGCAGTTGGTTGCGAATTATCGATTTTTCATGCACTCTAACTTGTACATGCCTTTCTACTTTTTTGTGCTGTTAGTCAATTTACAGTAAATACATATGCAACATCTTGCTTAATAAAAATGCGTAGATACTTATGCACGCTTGGTTGTAAATCCTAGCAATCACGCAATGCCACTCGTCTTGCTTGCAATGATTTTTTAAATATTTTGCCTGCATTTTGCAGCACACTTTTTAACGATTTGTTGCTGTTTTGATATTCGTACTGAAATCACTATGCATTAAATCTCAATTACTGCAGCTCAATTGGCGCTTTGCAGTGGTTTGCATTTCCGCACAAGTAACTCATACGCCATGTAGAATGCAATAATACCGGCTACAGTAGTAAGCGCACGTTTTAAATTGGCGTAAGCTGCGTTTGCGGACAGAACGCTCTCAAAACGAAAAGAAAATTGTGCTATCTTCATTTTCGATTTTTCACTTTCTGCCCTTTCGTCTACTTTGCGTTTTCGTTTTTTCCTCTTTTTCACCGCTTTTTCGAGTGCGTACTCGTACCTGGAAGCTGTTAGACATCGAGTTTTAGTTGGAAACTACTTCGATATAATTGAATCGCATATAAAACTTTTGTTGTTGCTAAACATAGTTATTGCCAATAGCTATGGTCCCAATCGGCTAACGATTTCTTAATTTCCGCTGTGCACACATGCAACGTTGTAATGCTGCAAATGAGCCTTTAAGTGCCGAAGTGCAAAACTCAGCAGTGGATCGGAACGCGGTGCGTAGTGTATAATAAATTACTTTTGCAAACCTTCATATGTACACTAGGCTGGTCAAAAAAAGAAAATAAAGTAGGATTTTTAATGCTCTTGAACATTATGAATTTTCTTTTCCGAAAAAATACAACCCTGTTTTTTTTTGTATGAAATAAAAAAAACATTTACAGGCCGCTAAAAGGGTTCAAAGTTTTCCGTGTATTTTATATGGGGCAGAAACAATTTTTTTGTAGAAATGGTACAGAATTCTTGAAAATCCATATTTTTCGTATTTTGAAATTAACAAAATGGTTAAATAAACATTTGGGACTTATTAGTGGAAGGCTCCTGAAGAGAAACATAGTTTTCCGATCGAAAAACATTGATTTTTAATGGTTAAAATTCCGACTTGACTTTTTTTTTGACTACCCTAATGTGCACGCTGATTTTATGCTCAATTATGCCCATGTGGCATGCATAAATTGAATTCAACAATAACTATTAGATTAAGTGCTTCTTAAATTGCTCTCAACTGTAAAAAAGCTAACCATAAAAGAGTGGTTGAGTGCAGATAAATTGGTTGGAGGTGATTGAATTTTTTAAATAACCGAGGTATGTAAATTATGGGGCTGTATACTTTAATAGCTTAAGTATAACTTATGTTATAAAACGTGGCTGAGCTCAATGTCAGTTGGTGTACGAAATTGTAGAAACATTGCTAGAATCTGTGCTTAAATTACCTGGAAATTCTACCTGATTCGATTTGAAGGTTGAAATTGCTCGAAAGTTATGGGTAATCTATACAAATATGAATTCATACTATTTAACACTTTCGAATCAAGCAAAAAGTATTATAATTCAAAAATAATTGAAGCAACAATATGTGCAAAGCTTTATACCATTCGCTAGCATAGAATATAGACAGGGCATTCGCCTAGTGAACATAAGTACGACGGTTCGAAACTCATCGCGCGAAAAATGTTTTTATTTTTTATTTTTAAAAGCTTTTCTTAAGTTTCACCTGTGTGTAATCAAATTTTGTAATCAATCTATAACCATCTTTCCGATGAGATAGAGACTCAAAACGCGATGGAAATGCCAAATGAAGGATGAAATAATCCTCTAGGTGGCGCAGGTGTCGAGATATTTTTAAAACCTGTATTTATGATCAGATAAGGTTACGGTGATCAACCGTACTTTATTTCAAAGAACAGACATTTTTCTCATTATGCTGCCCTTTGCCTTAATTAATTTCTCGAAAAATTTTTTATGTAACTTATTTGAAAACTTGTGCTTTGAAAGTACTCTTTTTATGCGAGTCAGACGTTAATGCATATCATATATTAAAGGCCATTACATAAGAAATTTAAAGAAACTGTAGATAATACAAACAAGTTGGAAAGCTCGTCCTTATCATTTACCTTGCTGAAACGAGGGCACCCACCAGAAGGCTCGGAAAATTCAAGTATTCTTAATCCGCTTGCAAATCTTTTAAGTTAAGTATTATTCGACCTTTTTCGTGGAAAGTTCGAAAAATAAAATTTTTCCAGGATTCTTGTTTAAGAGGTCCTGGGATCATAGAAACATTTATAACTTTCTTCTACGACAATATTTTGCTCAAAATTTTTATAACATAGGAAAAAATAACTGTTCGGGCATGTACTTTATTTACCGGTTACAAAATTTTTTATTACCAGCGCAGAATAGACCTGTTAAAAACTATTTTATTTCTATAGTTTTAGGGTCAATTATATTTCTGCTCTCAAATAATTAAAATCAAAAGATTTTCAGCTTACCAAATTTTCTTTTTTTTCATTTATTTTCAGTATTCCAGAGAATCTCCTTTCTTCCACAACGATTTTAAATATCAAGAATGAGCCATAATACGAAACATAGCCACATTGCGCCACTTTCATGGCAGACTGGGCAGAATGGACAATCAGCAGCACAAAGCTTTTCACAGTCACAATAAGGTTTAACGACGCGTAAGTTAAAGGTGAAAAAGTAAAACTGACACACTTAAACGGCTCGAAAGCAAACATATATACATACGTTTATGTGCAAACTTTATTGAGGGTGGCAATGCAATGAACGTTTGACTTCAAGGCACGCGAGCAGATAAAGATAAAGAGTGGCAAGTAAACAGAAAAGAAATTGCACCGCAGGAGTTCAAAAGCAAACACCTCTATGAGTGGTAATTATCGCGTGTTGACAACACATCAAACTGAAAGGCTAAATCAGAACAACAAGTGAGTGGTGAAGCTAAAGAGAGACAATGAAGGGCTCGCTTGTAGTTAAAGTGACAAACGTGTGGTTGAACAAAAAAAAAAAAAATGCCGCCAACAGCAATTTATTATGACAAGCAAAAATGACAACACAGGGCAAATAAATAATTTTTTAGATAACAAGTTAGAATTTGGTGAAAGAAGGGAAAATCCACGAAAATAGTTACAATAATTGTAAAATTAGTAATTCTATTTGATAGGTGAACACTCATGACAAGTAGCATAAACAAATTTTAATATAAAATTCAAAATTTATCCAGCAAAAAATAAAATGAACAAAGCGAAAACACAAAGCATACAAAAACCGTCAAATAACTATAACATCGTAGATAAAGTGCAAGCGAAAGAGTAGTCAGTTCTTCAACGGTATTCTCAACACCAACATTCACTAACGGCTTCGCCTTTTTTCACCGACTCTACTACAACCACTATAGACAGTCGTCGACTTCACTAGCGTCGAAATGTCATCGCCAGAGCACTTCGTAACGCCAACTTCCTCAACAGGTGAGTTTTTGTAGCCTAATTGACTGTCACTTTGTTTTACATCAAACCTTTTGTCTCGCATTAACTGAAACTTCCGCCTTGTTGCTGCTTTTATTTCCGTCCTTGCGCTCATTGGAATGTGAAATAATGCCGTTTTGAATGGCAAACATTGCTGAGGTAGTTGAATTCTATCTACATCTATACATATTTAAGAGTACCTGCGTATGGTAGGAAAATTGTTTACAATTTTTTTGGCTGTTTTTATTTTTTTTGACACGATTTAATAGTTTTCCAAATATATCGAGAACGGGGCAAGGAAAAATTTTGAAAAAAAATCACACTTACACACATCGAAACTCTCTATAAAAATAAATATAAAAAATTTTTTTTTTCTTGAAAATTTTTTCAGATACAAATTTTTTTATAAAAAAATTCGTTTTTGAAAATATGCCATCTCAAAAAAAAAATAAAAAAATCACAATGGTAGCTCTGAGTATTGCGCAATATTTTAGTATAGTATTACGGGGTGCACTCTACAATAACTTGAGCTATGAATTTTTTTACATCGAAGTTGAGTACTCATCACAAATTTACAAATTTTTTAAATTTTTTTAGAATTTTTTTGAGTATGTAGTTTTGTAGCTCATTAAATTTTAGCATAAATTGCAAGTTTTAAGCTACTGCAAAATTGCGTTGATTTTTAATATTTTTTAAGCTG